GTGTATTTATAATATTTTGGAAACATGTACGATAATGGCCATTTTAAAAGTGGGAGTAGAAAAACAATATTACATTTTGTGTATTTGTTATATGACCACAAAATACAACTGGATAGCAGCCAACTTAATATATTATACGCATGCGCAGAAATCACGGCTGGTAATTAATAATTGTTCAAACACCTTAAGCAACAATTGTTTGTAAGGTATTAACATATTTAAAGGTAAGCGTCAGTTAACCTTAAAAAATTTATTACAAACGCATTCTGTAGTCATTTAATAGTTCTTCTTCTTCTGTGTAATGGCCTTTTCCTTCCGGGATTTAGCCAGCTAAATCTTTCTTTCTTTTAGGTACTGGAGCAAGCGAGTCTAGGATTACCTATAGCTTCTCCTTTTCTTCTTGATTAATTGTATATTATAGGTTCTTGTTTACATATATATATATACAGGGGCGTGCTGGGCCGCCGGGACACCGGGAGAAATCCCGGTGGGCCGGTGGTCCGGAGGGCTAAGGGGGCCGGTGTGCCGGAGGGCTATGTAGCATGCCGCAGCACGTGGTCAATTAAAAACTTTTTTAGTTGAGTTATGTATAAATATCATAATTATTTTACAGATTGTATATTGTTTATAAGTTTCCTGAGCGATGATAATTTGTATTAGTTTTATTTTAAGTGCAATGTGCATTGTGTAAAATATTGTCTGGTTGTGTTTGTTGCCTGTTTTTTTTTTCAAGAATTTAATTTATCCTTTATGTTATTAATTATTAATAAATGAAATTTTTTAACTTGGTTTTGTTCACCCCCCATTTTTCGTGTGTAGTTGGCTGATTTTTCTGAATTTCCCGGGCCGGTCTGATATAGCCAGCACACCCCTGTATATTTATATATTTCTTTTTTCTTTTTTCCTTTTAACCAGTCATTTTTATTACACTAATAAACTAATGTCTCAAACATAAACAAAATCACGATAATAGCAACGAAAGTCCATAGGCAAAAAAAAATGTAAAAAAACGACCATGCACTACGTCGCTGTTTTCACCTGTATATTCAATCCTTCAATACTTTGACCATCCTTTGTGGAAATCTTTTGCGTCTTCACCAATCTAATGTAGATTCTGGGGTTTTGTCACGAATCAGCTTATTTGTGTTCGGTGAGCCCCATATTGTCCTCCCAAGCCTTGGGACCCAAGGACACTTGTCACTTCAGCGGACAATACAGAACTCCCATTAAATAGTTTGTATTAACGATTGTTTTAAATTTACCGCGATACGTTATGGTGGTAACACTGGAGTGATTGAGAGAAAACTAAGATGGCTTTTGTTAGAAGAAATTTATTGTCTGTGGCGTGAATTTCGATATCGTGTTCTTCATAAAGTGTTATATAGTGTTCTCTTCAAGTTAATGCTTGACTGTTATAATTTGGATATTTCAACAACCATTAGAAAGTTCCAGTGCTTATTAATGTGTATTTTTAAGTTTAGGGTAGTAATTACTACCCATTAATGCAATAATAATTTTTTGTTCCATATTAAGTTGTCTTTCTAAATATGTAATCAGTGGCCTCGGGGGGCTATCAAAAATCTGGTAGGGGCCCTTATACGGCTGCTGGCAAATAACTGTGTCACGTCCAAAGTTTATTTTGGTCCAACAAAAACAAATGTTTAGGGTATCATTTTATTGCATTTACCAATTTTTTATAATTTAATAAATAATATATTTTAAAGATTTCTCCTTACACCAGGTTCGTTAAAACAAGTTTTATAAAAAATGAATAAATGAACTATTTTGTGACTATGCTTTTGGACCTCTACGTTGTGGTTACTTGTTACTTGTTTTATTAAATACATTGCTTTAAGAATCATACTTGGGAAAATTAGGTTTACAAAAAAAATAAAATACAGTGTTTTGTTTACCCCAATTTAATTTACTTTACAAACAGTAAAAAAAAACAAGGGGTGGCTCTTAGGGAGATACGACCAGGGAAAAAGAGCTTGAGAAAAAACCCTGTTCGGCTATGAAGTAGCAAAGGATTACACGATTAGGCATTGTATCTACCCCTACGGGTTCAAAAAAAATAGGAAAAACTTTGTTAGTTTAACAGGGCAGTTAACTGTTAGTCTGTCAACGTTAACGTTGCCCTGTGGAGAACGAGGTCCGCACTGGAAACAACTCGCGTAAAGATGCAGTTTCGGGATAAAAGTTGCGATGCCACCTAGAGAACCTAGGTGACCAGTTATCCCTCACGGAGGAGAGTATTTTAGTATCTACTGCAAACTACGTACTAAAGAAAAAGGAGCATTCAAAGTTTAAAATTAACGGTCAATACTCCCTTTTAAGCAAACGAAACGTCCTGTATTACACTGATATTTGTTTTAAAATTACCGCAAAAAAATGCATAATCGTGTTGAGGGAGGGTCTAAACATTTGAGTAATATACAACTAAATTAAGCCTAAGACAATAAAAGGAAGGAATATAAATTTTTACATTTAGCAGTAAACTTAAAAGGTAAAACATTCTATAAAAATAGCTAAAACAAAAGGTGTTAATATCGAGTAAAATTCACTAAACGTAGTAGTGCAAAATAACTAATGCTCAGTTTATTTAAATCAAAATCGTTCTACGTTTAGTGGACTTTACTACCGAATTGGGCTACTAAAATTCAGAACTAACCTGGGAGAATACACAAACACTCGTAACAATTGTTTACACAGAATTTTACAATAATTATGGTTTTAGCAAAGATTCACGAAAACGATGCGTTCTCTAACACTTCGGAAAACTTTCTGCCTCTTTCTTTGCTTCCCTCTCCCAGTTTCGATGTTGTTTTCGCCTCATCTGGCCAACAGATTTTTTCCCATTTCAGGCAAAATTCCGGTCTTCCACTAAACTTTGTAATTTCTCTACCTAACCGTTTTTTTACCCATGTTGCAACGATTTTTACATTTTACAACACAATTTAAAATTCCAAACTAATTCAAAAATAAATTTGTAAAACGTATTAAAGTACTGAACCATTACAATATTTATACATAGCTTTTAAAATTTGGTCTGGTTTTAAACATTTACCGTTCTTCAACATCTTTTAAAAGGTTTTTATTTTAAAATAAAGGCAAGTCATTTGAAATAATTGTAACGCTAATAATTATTTCTAATTTGCTATTAATATGATAATAACACGCAAAGCGGACTTAGTATGCGGCGCAGAGCACTGAACAATATGCGCAGACTGCGCCGCAGCCAACGCATAGCGGAAAGGTGCGGGCAAAAACAATTCGAGTTCACGGCCTCGTTGGAATAGGAGGGTAGGTATTCAGGAAAATTAATTTAATAAATAATAATATTATTTATCTATTTAATTTCATGAGTAAACTTTTTTAACACGTGGGAAATATATGTTTTGCTTATGCATGTCAAAGCCAATCGGGAGCCCCCCCTAGCCGGGGGCCCCGTATCATTGATACGGCTGATTCCGCGGTAGCTAGGCCCCTGATATATATATCATATACATTTGGCTTCGAAGTGCATAAGCAAAAAACATGTTAAAAAAATTTAGGCATGAAATTAAATAAATAAATAAATAATTAATTTTATTATTTAATTGTTTATACTTCGATTTATTAAATTAAAATATTCCTGTTTCAACGAGGCCGTGAACTCATACGAATTGTTTCTGCCTGCACCTTTCCGCTATGCGTTGTCTGCGACGCAATCAGCGCATATTGTTCTGTGCTCTGCAACGCATACTTAGATTATTTTGCGTGTTATTATCATAGGTTATATTAATAGCAAATTATAAATAATTACACTGTAGGGAGGTGAAAATATCACAGCTAAACGCTCGGACACGTAAACTTAATTTTTTATCGTAGATTGCAAATCCGTGCTTGGTTTAGCTGTATCAGGTCAAAATTCAAAGATATTGTAAACACCCTGTATAAATTTAAACACAATGTATAATTTTTTTTTACATTAATTTTGGCGAGACCCACAAATCAGTTCAAAATTTAAAAAACTACAAATTCTTGCAAAATTTGAAGTTAATTGATCAAAAAATACACGTGTCCCTAAGGGTTTTTCTTAGATTATTTAGGAAATTTGAAATGTTTTTTTGCTAATTTTTTTTATTGAGTATAATTGAAGATATTATATTTAATGAAATAAAAAGCATAAAACTGTTGGCATAAGAGGTGAATTATATTATTTTACAAATTATAAAATACCAGTATACAGTGTGTCCCCGGATCGGATTTCCAATAGGAAAAACTTTTTTAGACCTGATAGTATCAGGCTGATACAGCTAAACCGAGCACGGATTTGGAATCTACGACCAAACATTAAGTTTACATGTCCGAGCGTTTAGCTGTGATATTTCAAAAGTTAAAAATTTACCTACAGTGTTATTAGCGTTACAATTATTTCAAGTGACTTGCCTTTATTTTAAAATAGAAACCCTTTAAAAGATGTTGAAGAACGGTAAATGTCTGAAACCAGACAAAATTTTAAATCATGCCTGTACATAAAAAGCTATATATACATAAATTATTTATTAAATTACAAAAAATTGGTAAATGCAAAAAAATATACCTTAAAATTTTTTTTTGTTTTCCCTTAATAGATTTTGGGCGTGACACACAGAAATTTTCTTCCAGCAGCTTATTTCGTTTAAGGGCCCCACCAGATTTTTTATACAGGGCCCCCTCGAGGCTTGTTACGCCACTGATATGCTGGTGACTTAGCGCTCGAGCGATCTAGAGCTGTGTGGAGCTCGCTGGAATATTCGGGAACGTAGGCACTGAATATATAAGGAACGGCGCTGCATGGAGCAGTTAGTTAAGTTTTGGTACTCGCGTCGAAATAAATAAATAGACTCTTGAACAGTAGTGATATATAAATAATTAGTAGTTAAGTGTTTAGTTAGTTTTATAGTGTTTTAAGTGTACTTAAGTTATTTAATAAATAGTTTAGTTCGTTAATTAACCAGTGCGTGTTTTAATTCACACTACGAACAGTTAAAAACGTTACAATTGGTGTCAGGAGTGCGGTTAATGTGAAACTTCGCGAAAATGGTTTCGTTAATGGACCTAAGAGTGGCGGACCTTAAGAGGGAGCTAGAAGAAAGGGAATGTGATACAACTGGGAAAAAGAATGTGTTGCAGCAGCGGCTTCGAGAAGCGTTGGAGCAGGAAGGTGAAAATCCAGATACGTGTTTATTTGAAGGCCAGTGTGATATATATTGTGTTAATAAATATTAGTGTTAGACCGGTAGCGACCTCTATATTTTAAGGAAGCAACCACAGCAGTTCTGCCAACTGCAAAAATAGATATAAAAAGAACATTCGAGAATGTACAAAATGGCAATAGGCTTGTTCTCCATTTATTATTAGAAATAAAAAGTTTAAGCAGTTACATGGTGTTTAAATACGAGTACATAAGTATACAACAGACTGGCGACGAGGATTAAAGAAAGTAAAGGCAAGTGAAATGTCACGAAAGTAATAAAAGCCGACACTTTATAAAAATCATAACCAAGGAAAAGACACGAGGAGCATTTTTGTAATCTTTTAACAAGAAATTACAATGTCTACACAGTCTGATATTACACATTCAGTCCATACAGTGTTCTCAATTAAAAATTACAACCCTACTACAAAGTTTGATCGTTGGTTATTGCGTTTAGAAAGTGCATTCAATGTTTTTTAATTCCGGAGGACAAAAAAGGCGCCTACCTTTTACACTACAAGGGAGCGGAAGCGTACGATGTTTTATGCGATAAAATATCCCCAGACACACCCGATCAGAAAACATATGCAGAAATCATCGAGGCAATGAAGGCACACTACAATCCCGAACCACTGGAGATTGCTGAAAATTTCAGATTTTTACAGAGGAAACAGCATGAGGGGGATAGTGCCCAGGACTACTTAACAGCACTACGAAGAATGGCTACAACCTGCAAATTTGGTGACTATCTTAAAAAGGCTTTAAGAAATCAATTTGTTTTTGGTTTACGTACACAAGCCATTCAAAGTCGATTACTGGAACAAAAGGATTTGACCATTGAAAAAGCTGTGTACATCGCAACCAGCATGGAGACTTCACAAAGGGATGCAACACAACTACACAGGAATGTCAACGTACATCAAGTAGGGGAGAGTGGGTAGACATTGGACAATTTTTAGATTTTTTTGCCTGGGTCTTTTAGAAATGTAATTATTTCTAATTTCAAAGTTTCAGGTAATAGTGTTGACTTCTGAAAACGCAAAGAGATAAATATGTGCACTTTAAACCGTAAGATGGGTTTGCTACGAATTTTTGAAAATTTTCGGTCATCTGTCCAAAGTCACCCCACATACGGGGAGATTCTGGACAACGTACGGGGTGCATTTGGACACTATAAAAATATTATAAATTTAGGAATTTTATTGAAAAAATCAGAGCAAAACTTATTCAATACTAAATTGCGACAAATTAAAATTAAAGTAAATCATGTAATGGAATCGAACTCCATCAGTGGGGGGAAGAACCAATATCACGTCCTTAAAATCCACCAAGGCTTCATCTTCATCTGTTTCTTAAAATCTGTATGATAGAAACTGCCTTTTAAGGAATTTAACTGTATATCCTTGGTTTAATTTTTGCAATATTCTGCTAACGAAGTGCCGGGACTATGTTTGGACAATAGAGGAAGACTCTAGACAGTGTGTCCAAACTCTCCCTACATGATGTGAAACAAAAAAAAATGTTCATAATTTCAAAATATAGCAACGGAATAAAGTAAGGATATAAAAAAAGTTCCATGCTTTATACATGCTTTAATATGTAGTAACTTTAAATTATTTATCTACAACGGTCTGGGCAGAAAAGCTTACAAGGGGAAAGTAAAATATTACATGAAAAAAGTCGAAAATAAACTTTTCCACTTACCTCTTCTACAGCTAAACTCAAACTTATTTCACTACCACTATTTGATACCTTACCAATTTGACGATCTGTAATAGTAGAACCAACCTGAAATTTTTACTGGAACCGCGAAATTCGTCCATTGTCCATTGTTTCCCAGTGTCCAGACCCTCCCTACTCTCCCCTACAAAGTGACAAAAAGTGCAAATACAACAAAAGTGCCCAAGTTAAAAGTTCACAAAAGCAGAGTACAGTGAAAGAGCAAAGTGAAAAGGGAAAAGAAAATTTTAAGTGTTTTCGGTGTGGATCAACCCAACATCTTGCAAACGTTTGTGATAAAAAGAATATAATATGTAATCACTGTAAGGTCAAGGGTCATCTGAGTAAGGTATGTTTTAAAGCTAAGCGTACAATCAGGTAGGCCAGGTTGAAGAGTTATTCTCAATAAATACAGAACACCAGGAGTTTAGAGAAAAATTTGTGCTACAACGTACAATAAATAATACAGCAATAAAGTTTGAAGTTGATAGTGGTGCAGCTGTCAGTATTCTTAATTATTCTGATTTCAAAAGAATTTTTCCAAATTCAAAAATTTAAAGTACAGCATTAAAATTATTTACATATTGCAAACAGTCCTTAGATGTTGTTGGGTTGATTCAAGTACAGGTATTCTATGAAAACAAAATACAAGCTTAAAAACCAAGCCCAATATACAACCAGTTTTCATAAAAGCCCTGAAAGTACCATACGCGTTACTTCCTAAAGTTGAGGAAGAGTTACAAAACCTAGAAAATAACGGTGTTTTTGAAAAAGTAAACAGTTCCGAATGGGCAACGCCAATTGTGCCAATTTTAAAATCAAACGGTAAAGTACGTATTTGCGGTGATTTTAAATGTACATTAAATGCAAATTTGATTGTGGACGAATACCCATTGCCAACAATCGAATCCTTATTTTCGTCAATGGCAGGTGGGGAAAAATTCACAAAATTGGATTTACAGCAAGCGTATCTACAGATGGAAGTTAGGCCGGAAGACAGAAAATATTTGACACTTAGTACACCCAAAGTTATATCAATGCACGCGGCTAATGTACGGTATAGCTAGCGCCCAGCGATATGGCAACGCGAGATAGAGAACATTTTACGCGAGATACCGGGAGTGTCAGTTTTCTTAGATGACATTAAGATTACAGGTCCGGATGACAATACACACTTACAAAGACGATAAAGTTCTATACAATATTGCGGTTATGTAATCGATAAAAACGGGATACACAAAACAAAAGAAAAAATCGATGCAATACAAAACGCGAAAAAACCGACGAATAAAACTGAGGTAAGAGCATTCGTAGGGTTAATCAATTACTATCATAGATCTTTAAAAAATTTAGGTGACACATTACATCCAATTTACAATCTTTTGAAAGATGGAGTGAATGGGACAAAGAGTGTGATTACGCATTTAAAAAGGTAAAAGAAGAAATTGTATCTGAACGGGTATTGGCGCATTTCGACCCTGAATTGCCGTTAATACTAGCCACAGACGCAAGCCCTTACGCAGTAGGTGCCGTATTATCACATAGGTATAGCGACGGAACAGAAAAACCAAATCAATTCGTTTCACAAACACTTACACAGGTACAACAAAAATATGTTCAAATCGACAAAGAGGCATATGCAATCATTTACGGGGTAAAACGATTTTATTATTATCTATTCGGTAGGCAGTTTACACTGATTTCGGATCATAAACCATTAGTACAGATTTTTTCACCCTCAAAATCGTTACCAATTCTTTCAACTACACGCATGCAGCATTTTGCATTATTTTTGCAAGGGTTTAATTACAATATCGTCTACAGAAATACAAAAGAGCATGCAAATGCAGATGCAATGTCTCGATTAGGTAAGTTTGACTATGAAATGACAAAATGGAAATCCTACTGGTGGAAAATTTACCCATCACTCTCAAACAGCTAAAAAGTGAAACTGAAAATGAACCAAGTTTTACAAAACTATTACAAGCACTTAAAAACGGAACTACTATTGACGCGAAAGATAGATTCAACATTCTCCAAATAGAATTTTCATTACACAATAATTGCATTTTTAGACAAAATCTAGCAGTAATACCTACAACATTACGACCAAGAATTTTACAAGAGCTGCACATTACACACTTCGGTATAGTGAAAATGAAGGCTCTTGCACGAAATTATTGTTGGTGGCCCGGAATATCTCACGATATAGAAGACACATGTAAAAACTGTGCTGATTGTAATAAAATCAAAAACGAGCCGGAAAAGGTATCAGTTCATCCTTGGGAAACGCCGCGATTACCTTTTGAGCGAGTTCATATCGATTTTGCAGGTCCATTTCTAAATTCAACATTACGACCAAGAATTTTACAAGAGCTGCACATTACACACTTCGGTATAGTGAAAATGAAGGCTCTTGCACGAAATTATTGTTGGTGGCCCGGAATATCTCACGATATAGAAGACACATGTAAAAACTGTGCTGATTGTAATAAAATCAAAAACGAGCCGGAAAAGGTATCAGTTCATCCTTGGGAAACGCCGCGATTACCTTTTGAGCGAGTTCATATCGATTTTGCAGGTCCATTTCTAAATTCGTACTATTTTGTGTTAGTAGATGCATATACACGGTGGCCTGAAATTCATATGGTAAAAAACATGCAAACGCAAAATACAATAATTATTATAATCTTACGAACAATTTTTGCAACTTACGGAATACCGAGAATTTTGGTCTCTGACAATGGTCCTACGTTTACGTCATACGATTTCTACAGCAGAACGGTATAATACACAAATTAAGCGCACCTTATCACCCAGCTACAAATGGTTTAGCGGAAAGATACGTGCAAACATTTAAACAGTCACTACGAGCATTAAAAGGTAACGATAACGAAAGAGAAAAACAACTTTCAAAATTTTTACTACAGTACCGAAAATCTCCACATTCAGTTACGGGGGTTAGTCCTTCCTATCTTATGTTTGGTAGAGAAATTAGATCAAGATTAGACTTATTAAAACCTTTTGCAGAATCACATAAACAAAATATAACTATTAAATGTCGCGATTTTACGGTAGGGGAGAGAGTTTATATCAGAGATTACATCCATGAGAATAAATGGGAATTCGGAAGAATACAAAAGCGTATTGGAAAATTACATTATATAATAATATTGGATGACGAACGTATTTGGAAAAGACATGTTGATCAAATAAGGTCATTTGGGGAAAACACTCCTGTACAGACAAAAATACCATACTTGAATGAAAATTAATACAATTATACAAATCTGACAGCAGCAACCCCAACTGAAAAGCAAAATTAGTAGCGATAATAATAAAACAGTTGCAATTCAACCGGACTTACCTGACTTACCTGTTTTGCCAAATGCCGTACCTACATTACCAACCCACGGATGTACCCTCTGTCCAAAACGGAAATGTATGTTTACAAAAAGAAACATTTTAGATTAATATTTCTTTTAAGGAAGGGAAGAAGTGATATATATTGTGTTAATAAATATTAGTGTTAGACCGGTAGCGACCTCTATGTTTGAAGGAAGCAACCACAGCAGTTCTACCAACTGCAAAAATAGATATAAAAAGAACATTCGAGAATGTACAAAATGGCAGTAGGCTTGTTCTCCATTTATTATTAGAAATTAAAAGTTTAAGCAGTTACATGGTGTTTAAATACGAGTACATATACAACACAGTGTAATATGCATTTAATGTTGCAAAATTAAAACGAAAGAATGTTAGAGAATTCTAATAATTTGAAAGCTGATTTGAAACAGAACATGCTAGAAAATTCTAAAGATTTACAACAGAAGATTCTGGAAAATTCCAACGAATTACAACAGAAAATGTTGGAAAATTCTAGCGATTTAAAAGTCGATTTACAACAAAAGATTCTGTAAAATTCTAACGAGTTACAACAAAAAATGTTAGAAAATGTCAACGATTTGCAACAGAAAATGCTGGTAAATTCTAGCGAACTACAGCAGAAAATTCTGGAAAATTCTAAAAATTCAAAGGAATATTTGGAACAGAAGATTTTAGATAATGTCAATGAATTGGATGAGAAAATGGGGCAGAAATTTCACGACGTAAGAAAGGAATTAAAAGAGGACGTAAGAATGGAATTGAATGACGTAAGGATGGAATTGGATGATACATTGGAACTCAAAATAAAAGAAATAAATAGTAAACAGCTGTTAATTTACCTATGATGCTGACGGAACAAGGAGCAGTGCCAGAGAGGAGCCGAGTTAGGATGAAACCACCTCAGTTCGATGGAAAAACTTCTTGGACCAACCACATCCGTCAGTTTGAGGCTGCAGCAAAAGCAAATGGCTGGCTACCGGAAGAAAAAGCTACAGCATTGACTCTTGCTTTACGCGGAGATGCAACCGACATCTTGCAGACACTTTCTCCCAACGAACAAGAAGATTACGAAGCGTCCGAGCCAACTGGTTGATCCATTGGCTCGAGCTTTGGAATTCGAGGCGGCAAAGCAGACCTGCAGGAGCCAGCCTAGAATACGGAGAGTCGAGGAAGAGAAAGAGGAGGAACCTAGTATAATTGAAGCAATTAGGCGAGTTTAAAAAAAAACTACCAGAGAAGAAGGAAATCCGGTGTTGGAGATGTGGAAAGCTCGAACATATACGAAGTCGTTGCAGAAAAAGCCAGGAGGCGCCAACTTCATCCAAGTCGGAAAAATAGATAGGGTCGAGGAAAAGGGGCAACCGTCGACCTGTAACCAGCATGCCCCAGAGGATATCGAACGTGTCGCATCTCTTCTACATCAGTCCAGCAGTGTGGATGGCTTTATTAATGGAAAGTTACATGTGCTGCTGCTGGATACAGGTGCGAGGAAGACAATTATTCGGCCAGATATTGTCTAAAAGTCGAAGATAAAATCTACCAATCGGCGACTACGTACTGCAACAGGAGATACTGCTACTGTTCGTGGAGAAGTGGACATCACGATGGTCATAGGAAACACGAAATTTAAACATCGAGCATTAGTAGCAGATATTGAAGATGAAGTTATTGTAGGCTTGGACATTATGAACTCTATAGGATTTGAACTAAACTTTCAATAAGGAATATTGAGAGTAAATGGAGAAGAAGTCGTGTTGCATCGATCGAATGAAAAGAATATTCGTGTAATGTTAACAGAAGATGCTTTGATACCGGAACAAAGCGAGATGATATTGAAGGCTTCCTTGGATTGTAAATCAGAAGATGGAAGTATAAGGCTTCTGGAGCCGAGAATTGATGACAAAGAGGTCGGTCGAGGAGTTGTAGTAGGAAAGACATTAATACGTGTCGGAAAAGAAGTGCCTGTAAGATGTTAATGGTTACTCTGTGAACTTTAAGAAAGGAATCGTTTTGGGAAACTGTTCTTCGGTTTCCTCGATTATTAGAGGCATTTGTGAGTCTGCAGTCCCGGCCAAGAAAGTGAGCAATGAATTGACGAATCTTCTGTCGACTTCTTCAAAGGATTTGAAACCCGATGAAAGGATAAAGCTGAAAGAGCTGATATACAATTATCAGGATGTCTTTGACGACGGACAAGGAAAGAAGGGTAGGACAAGAACTGTCCAGCATAAAATTAACACCGGTGATGAACAGCCAATTTGACAGTCGGCAAGAAGGCTGACACTTGCCAAGCGAGAGGAAGCTGATAGAATTGTGCAAGAAATGGAGAAGGAAGGGGTAATCGAACCATCCAACAGCCCATGGTCTTCCCCAGTGGTGTTAGTTAAGAAAAAGGATGGGTCAACTCGATTTTGCATCGATTTTCGTCAGCTGAACAACGTGACGAAGAAGGACAATTACCCTCTGCCTAGGATCGATGACACCTTGGTCATATTGGCTGAATCACAAATATTTTCAACTTTGGATTTAAAAAGCGGTTACTGGCAGGTTGAAATGGCACCAGAAGATAGAGAGAAGACTGCATTTACCGTGGGTGCAGGACTGTGGCAGTTTACTGTCATGCTGTTTGGACTATGTAATGCCCCTGCAACTTTTGAAAGGCTCATGGAAATGGTTTTGAAGGGACTATCCTGGAAGACATGCTTGGTGTACCTTGACGACATCATTGTGGTTGGGAAATCATTTGAGGACCATATGAGGAACCTGAAGGAAGTCTTTCAGCGCTTAAGAAGTTCTGGCCTGAAGCTAAGCCCAAAGAAATGTCACTTGTTCCAGAGGGAAGTGCAGTATCTGGGCCATGTTGTTTCAAGTCAAGGAGTGGCAGTGGACAAACAGAAAGTGAAGACGGTGTGGGAATGGCCAATACCGAAGAATAAACATGACTTAAGAAGCTTTCTTGGATTATGCACCTACTACCAGGATTCGCAAAGGTTGCTAAGCCTTTGACACGTTTAACAGAGGGAGAAAGACGATTCCAATGGGACGACGAATGCCAAGAAGCCTTTAAGAACCTGAAAAACGCGTTGACCAGCTCACCAGTCCTGAGTTATCCACTTCCGGATGGTGATTTTATTTTGCGGACGCCAGCAATGTGGGTCTGGGAGCTGTTTTATCTCAGATTCAAGAAGGAAAAGAGAAAGTTATTGGATACTTTAGTAAAACTCTGTCGAAACCAGAGCGAAATTACTGTGTTACTCGACGCGAGCTGTTGACAGTGGTAAAATCAGTGGAACACTTTTACAAGTATCTGTATTCTTGCTAAGAACGGATCAAGCTGCCCTAAAATGGCTTTTGCAATTTAAGAATCCTGAAGGACAGGTAGCAAGATGGATTGAGAGACTACAGGAGTTCGACTTTGACACAGAACATCGGGCTGGGACCATCCATAGAAATGCTGACGCCTTGTCAAGAAGACCGTGCCCGGAAGACTGTAAACATTGTCTCAGGGCCGAAGAAAAGGATGTGTTTGTTCGGGACCCGGATTTGAAGCTTATCATCGATTGGAAGAAGAACGACCGTAAACCAACGTGGCAGGAAGTCGCCCAATATTCGCCGAATGTGAAATCGTACTGGGCCCAATGGAATTCCATCATCTTAAGTGACTGGCTTCTAAAGCGCGTTCTGGAGATGCCAGAAGGGGGGGAAGACCGGAAGCAGATAATAATCCCCAGAAACAGGATACCAGAAGTGCTGCAAGAAATCCATGATGGAACTACTGGAGGACATCTTGGGGTGACCAGGACGCTCGGAAGACTTAGGGAACGGTTTTATTGGGTCAACAGCCAACGAGATGTAAAGGAATGGTGAAGAAGTGCGCCGTTTGCGCGGCAAGCAATGGACCCCAGAAGCGCCCAAAAGCCCCAATGCGACAGTACAATGTGGGCAGCCCATTTCAGAAAATTGCAATCGACGTGGCGGGTCCATTTCCGAAAACAGAATCTGGAAATAAATACATCATCTTTGTAATGGACTACTTTAGCAAATGGGCGGAAGCGTACGCCTTGCCAAACCAGGAAGCTGCCATAGTGGCCGATGCCCTTATTAAGGAGTGGATTTGTCGTTTTGGTGTGCCAATGGAGATGCATTCAGACCAAGGCAGGAACTTTGAATCTATATTGTTCCAGAATGTCTGTAAGATTCTTAACATTCGGAAGACGAGGACGACTGCATTACATTCGCAGTCTGATGGAATGGTAGAACGAATGAATCGAACGATAAACCGGTACCTGTCCAAGGTAGTCTCTGATCACCAAAGAGACTGGGACCGCTTCCTCCATCATAGTTTGGTTATACAACCCTCAGCGCCGTCGTGCTAATTCACCGAAGCTGCAGACTTCATGGGAAGGACCATACGAAGTCATGAATCGAATAAATGAGATCATCTACAGGATCAGGAAACAACCAATAGGAAAGCCGAAAGTGATCCATTTCAACCGATTGGCTCCTTACGCTGGAAACAATGATCAAATAGACGATGCTACAGTAAGAAGAGTTAATCCGCCGGAAGACGACTTGCCTTTTGAAGACTTCATGTATTTATATTCGAGTGGTAAAAAAGCTCGGTATGGTGTCACTCGAGAAGAACAAAAAGATCTGTTCACGGTTTAGGCCGATTATTCCTTGGCTCACTGTGTTGCGGAAGACCTTAGGATGTCCAGGGGAATAGCGGTTGTATTTAAAAACAAGTTTGGACGGGTCGACGAGCTACGAAGGCAGAATCCCAAAGTTGGAGAGGTGCTTGAAATTGTGGATAATGAGCATATAGGCAATAGAAGTATCTTCTATCTGGTAACGAAGCAGCTCTCCCATCAGAAGCCAATCTACCGTGACATATGGAATGCCTTAAATAAATTGAGGGATGCCCTTTTATCCAAGGATATCATGAACCTGGCGATACCAAAGATTGCTTGTGGACTTGACGGTTTAGACCAGAGAATAATAAGTATGGTGGAAGTTATCTTCAGATTTATTGGCATACACATTCTTGTCTGTTGCCACAACCCTAAAAGAACAACCGGAAGGAAGACCGTAGACTGCTACTTCTATAGGACGTCACAATGCAAGTTTGGATCTCTATGCAAATATTGCCATGGAGCTGAGGACCATTTTCGGGACGAAAATGTTTTAAGACGGGGGCAATGTAGCGAGTACGGCTCTGGATCTCGGAATGATGACTCATCGCCGATGAGTCATCGCCGGTGACTCAGCGCTCGAGCGATCTAGAGCTGTGTGGAGCTCGCTGGAATATTCGGCATTCATGGAGCAGTCAGTTAAGTTTTGGTACTCGCGTCGAAATAAATAAA